TAGGTACCTAATAGTAACATCGAAACAGACGAGTCAGTATTTWAAAAAAACATTGTTACTAAACAAATAAAATTATAGCTAGGTATGCAATGAGTATAATGCATTAATATGCATAACTATTAATTATTATAATATACGAGTATGCATAAAATACACGTGTGTTTTCGAAATATTCTTTTCGATTCGAAATAAAATATGCGGCACATATCGGAAAATGAACGTTAACGACCTTTTTGAATAAGTCCGACGATAACAAGTTTAACATATTAATCAGGTATATATTATATAGCTGTAGGTATACTATTTTATTTTCATCGACGAATATTTTTCTATACACGAGGTTTTTTTTGTCGAGGCAAATGTTTTGATTATGTACAATATGTTCATTGATAGCTCCGCTGCAGTATTATATGACGAGAATCAGATTTTCACTTGGCACATTAGGCCGTTATCGTTGGTCATAAATAACAATTGAGTTGTAATTATTTAGGCATATTCAATTATGCACGAAAACCGTATCATGCGTGATTAATTTCAAATGAACACACATATATATATATATATACCATATAGGTACGCAGGCAACCAAACCGTGCATGTGTATTATTGTGATTAAGCTCTTCCTACACGCACATTTCTAAATTACTATTCAACAAAATTTACCACTGTAATAATATAACATATAACCTAGGTATATGCGAATTTCGTGTCCTTATGAATATACAGTACCTAAATATGCATAATAAAACACATACAATATATACGTATACATTATAGTTCCGAGTTTACAGCCATGACTGCCTCGTCAATGATTTGTTGGTCCACGAAAACAATACGGCCGACCCGTCAAAAGCACACTGCAGGTGCTAAAAATCACGAACAATCAAAGTTGAACTATAATAATGACGCGGTTTGGTCTCACCACATCGTGCGCGTGCCATTTTTCGTTTTTCAAAGATTTCAAGATCGACAGCCGAGGTTAAAATAAACGCGACAGAGTACTAATTATACGCGTGTGATTAAAACCTGCGATTTCGTAAAAACTCATTTTTTTTTTTCGAAAAGCAAACGTAATTTAACACTATCATCATATTATGAATAAGTATTATATTATATACAAAAACGACGATATGGATGTCACAACTGCAGAATTAAATTATTATACCTAAAGAGTTTTCGGAGAAATGAATAAAAAATAAAAAAACGCGTAGAGAGGTTGTATGTAGGTATATATATATATATGCGGAAAACAATTACAACAACAAACGCTGAACGCGCAAATATTTCTACAAAAATGTATTATAATAAATGAAGGTAGCATGCGAATCATCATGAATATTATATATTCGAATTAAATATGCAACGAAAATGGTCAATGACTTTTTTTTTATCGACCATTTATATATAAGTTTGAATTCGCACCTATAAATATAACATTTTGTTTGAACAATACGAAAATATTCACTATGCACTAAACGTAAATGAATTATTATATATAGCTACTATAGCTATAGGTATATATTTCACAACTAAGATAATTTGCGCACGCATCATCGTATATTATAATATAATATAATATATATCTTAATTCATTGTGCTAGATTGGAACCTTTTTAGTGATTACTGCTACAATGCACATGGGAATATTAATACAGAATGTAGATATTGGTATTGATTATTGTACACGGCGGGGTAGAAAACAAGAAAAGAGACAGGAAAAGAGACAGGAAAGGCGAGTACGGTTACATTATATTGTAATCGAATATGCTAATCTTATACATTATAAATATTATATACACACCATAGTTATTTATACAACATAATGATATTATACCCATTCTCATATAGTAATAATAGTAATATAGTGTAACTATATATGCACATACTTTAATGCATTTTTGTCGTCCAACTGTTGTAGACAGAAATGCATAAATGCATAATTCGACATTTCGATCAGGTGCAATATATAAATTAAAATGATCATCAGGATTAGAGTKCGTGAGAGGCGGAAGGAAATAAAACTTTTCAATTGACAGCCGCTAAATATGAAATTATTGTTATATTTCTCCATTCAAATGTATTATTATCTAGACTTGTACACTATTTTATACATTATAATTTATAACAATTGTTAGCCAAATGAAAAGAATTGAAAATAAAATATTTTTTTTTTTAAATAATTAAACAGTTTTTTATATACTAATGCAGTATATCTGACTAAAAAATAATTTCACTTAAAAAAAAGTGAACAATTGTATACACGTCATATTTCAAGAGGGCTGGAGCACGAAACTATATTGTTAATAATAGACATTATTAATGTTTGTATGAAAATGTAATAACATTACACAGTTAAACATTATTTGCAGTAAATATTAATTTAAAGTAGGCAGGTCCTAAAAATTTGCATTTGTGCATTATTTTCAATATTAAAGCGGAAACGTTAAAAAATATAACAAACTGTATACCCGTGAGTCGTAGTATAATACTTTAATAACAATTAGTATATATAGTTATTTTCTACTAATTAATAATTCTACTTATAAATTTTTGTTTTAAAAAATAATTTTTTATTGAAACTATACTTAATAAGTGTTGGTGTTAAATTTTAATTATAGCATAAAAATTATTTTCTCTCTGTAATGCATTCGACCGATACAGAGGGAAAACGCCAAAAATTATATAATATTGTTGATATACCTATGAAAGCGCTTGGGAATCATAATGATATATGAAAACGTTTTTGTAGTAAAAGGTTTTATGTTAAATAAATCACGTTGAGACAGATAAATTATTCTACAAAGTACAAAAAAAAAAAACAAGCCAAAAAAACCCTATCCTCATCTGATAATCCCAGATGATAAATTTATCTACCTGGACCACGATCGTACCCAAAAGTTGTATAGGTTATCAGCCACAGAATCGGAGTTTTATTTTCACCACCAAAATTAAAAATCTACCTCTACATTATTACGAGTATCTTAAATATATATATATGCATTAAGTATTCATAGTATATACAATTTTCAAATGTGATTTATTATTAGTTTGACACTTCAACAAATTATAGTCGACTTATATGCCAATAGGGTCAATTTTGCCAATAATTTAATCACAAGTCTTATATGATGACTGCAGACAACAAGCTTTACGATTGAACGAGTCCGTTAAAGATATCTGAAATAAAAAATAAAACGTAATTTCAAAGCAAAGGTTGTGTTCGTACTTCGCAGCGATGAAAAGCCGATTTTCCTTCAAAGGCTTCGAAGCTATGACATTTATTTKATATATCACAAAATGTTAATCAAAGTTTAGTGCGAATAAAGAAGACCCCTTTAAATATTTTCGAGTAGAATTCCACATAGAGACCTAATAATACACGTAATAGAGAAAAAAAAACGATCAGATGAAACACAAAATTCGCGGGACTGCAGCACCACTACGCTGTTATTATAATGTTACTACATAATGATTCTACTCGCGAACACAGGGTTGTATAAAAAAAGGCGTGGTGTTGGTGTTAAGGGCGGTAAAATATTTAGGTTTTAATTCATTAAATTCATTTAAAAATATATGTTTAGAAGCAAAATACAAAACATAATAAATTGTTGTTTAAAACGTTTTCAGGAAAACTTTATGATAATTTTTACAATATTCGAGCAAGAAATTATATAAAACTTAAAAACAGGAAATAATAAACTATATAGACGCGTATACATAATTTTCTTAGTGGTTTTAATTTTCTGTTAAAATACAATTTTACAAATTGTAATACGCTGCGAGTTTCTTTCTCGAGGCCTCGTCAATCGTGGACCAAATAATAAATATAATATTAGGTATGTTTAATGATATTTGAAGATGTCATCACAAAATATTTGTCCGAGGTATGTGAACAGTTCCGCAAATACGGTCGGATTCATGTATATGTGGACATAAAGTAGATCTCGTGGTCGAGGAGAACAGTTGTGGATCCGCCACGTGAAGGGGTGGTAAAGGGCGCGCGGTCGACAGCCGTTAATTAAACGGAGCTCACACAAACACTCCGAGGCCGGTATACCATAACGCTCAGCAGACGTGCTGGTATTTAAGTGTGCTAACAACACGTAATATTATTATACATTATTGTACGATGTACAGTGTGTACACTGCTGCAGCTGGCGTTCGAGCGCGATCGTCCGACCGGAACGAACAATACAAGCACGCCGCAYCGAGGGCGTTATATTTTGTACACAACAATATGGCTACCGCGTTGCCGGAAAAAGCTGTTACCGGCTCTCTGGAATTGAACTATATACAGTAGGTAATATACATATATAGGACGTATTTCCGTGATGTAAACAACGAACACTGCACGCGCGCGCTTGTCAATATCGGCAGTACTTWAAAAAAAAAGTATAATAACGGCATTGCAGGTAATATACCAGCGTGTCGAGTCCAGCTCCGGAGTGGTGGTTAGACGAGGGGTGGAGGGGCGAGAAAAATGGCGCGTGCTTTGGAAAAACAACAACAACAACGTGAAATTATCAGTAAAATTTATTATTGTAAAAGTGATTGGAGAGAAATATCTAATATACCCATCTTTATATGCGGTGCAGGGGATGAAATCTAACGGCTGCATGAGATATGAGTCTGTATAGGCTACTACGAGGTCTTGCGAACCACCCCGTGAAGCACCTATAATCTATATTATATACGTATAGTGGGTTTTCCGATTGCAAGGGAGTCTAATGCACCGTTCTCCGACCACCTGCACCTTCCTCTAATATACTCCTACTCCTCTTCCGTGTGTGTACAACGCAGACCTTGGAACGGACCGGCACYGGCGATGACGTTCCGGTGGACAACTATATATACCTACGGTGCGCACACACACACACACACACACACACACACAACACTTCACCTGGCGCTTTAGTTTGTGTTTGTGTGTGTGTRCGCGCGTAAATATTATACGTCAGTGCAGCGTTCGCCTATATGCAGTCTTCCAGTCGCGCGCGCAGTATAGGTACGCGCGTACATGTCATACGTATCGTCTCCGGAAAACGTTCCATTTTCCGTTTCTATCGCCTGTGTCGCAGAACCAGAACCACGAAATTGCGTATATATATTGTGTGTACTATATTCTTCATCACGTCGTGTAATCTGCCTAATGTGTTAATATTGTCGTAACGCCGCACATCAATAGTTGTCCACGCCAATCTTCCCACGGTAAGTCTTTCATTTTTTTTTTTTTTTATTCGATATAAAAGGTGCTTATATGGCTATATATCAACTCATCAGATATTATTAATAAATAAATATTATATTTATAATGTTTCTTTCGTTCCACCAATAGGTAGTGGTGGTAGTGCTATATTAAAAGAACAACCATTATTTTAAAGTAAAATAGAATGAAAACGAATAGCTTCGTCTGCAGACCGCGCTTTATTCACAGCACAAAATTTGAATAACTTTTTTCATACATTTCAGTAAAAAATATTATAATATGAGTTAATCGCTTGCAACCTCTGTAACTATAGTTTGGTAATTTTCGTTGATTATACAATATGATTACTATCAATATAATCACGTAGATTTATATCCCAAAACAAAACTTATTCTTACTGTTCAACTAACAGACCATATTATACTATACCGTCCATGTATTACTATAGGTATAAAACGAAAAGAGGTACCTAATACATATTAATTAACTTTTTCTAATATGGTTTTCACATAAGTATATTATGCGCGACGCGCGAGTAAACGTATTAACATTTAATACTATGATTATTATCAAGATTATATACATGCATCTGATAGCTATAGCCTATAATATACATTATATAAACTGTCCAAGTTACATTTGATTATAATATATTGTGTTATAATAGTACTTATACTACTTTTGGCTTTTTTACTATGGTAACTATATATGTATACTCTATATTAAGGCGAGTATCTATAGTTACTATCTATGTTATGCCATATTTATGATTCGTAAAGATTTTAAAAGTTAAATATAACATCAATAAATATTTTGTAATACAATAAACGTCTGTTTTATAAAAATTGTGATAGGATAGGTCATTAAAGTATATGTTAACATTTCCACATAGTGTAATATGTAGTGACAGCTATCATTGACAGCCAAAAATAGGATGCGTGACTTACGTTGAACTAAATAAAATATATGTTGTGAAGTTTTTTCGTGAGATTAAGATTGATATGTATTTACTCGACAAAATCCTAACAGATTACTGTCTCCGCGTTTTGTAATATATATACCTAGTATTTGTGAGGTATTAAACGACTATATTATACTTAATAAAACTTATCTCAGTAGTATCCTTTTACAGTTTTACATTAATTATAACTAGAACAATATATATGAAAATCTTAATTTCATAAGTATATAATGCTTAAAAAAAAATAATGGACTTTTCAAGATTTAAACGATTAATCACGATGAAAACAAAAAAATAAAATCAGAAAAATGTTGACTACGACTTGGCAGAGCATATATAGGTGATCAAATGTAAAGCATATAAGTCGAAAGTTCTATGAACTCGACCAAAGTGAACAATATTGTTCTGTATAATTATGTAAAACAAAGCCAGAAATTCCGAACACCCGATTCGCAATAAGCCGGATCTGCGTCTGTCGGAACTAACGTCACGCTCATGAGGGAGCCTCTGGAGTATATGTCCATTAGATCTATCTAACAGACCGTAACATCCACCTGCGGAATAGATATGTGAAACGCACTATACATACACACAAACAAAATTATTTGATATGGGAGGAAATTGAATATCCCACTGTGAATGACCGGATTTAGCAGGCAGAGAGCCGTCCAATAGGCTTCGTCGTGAAATGGGCAGAAAGCATGGAGAGTGAAATCATTAACATCGGTATAATATGTATTAATACCTAGTAGGTTTTCATAGTCATCTCCCGCAAATATCATATTGTTCGTGACGCAACAGGGTCTAATTAACAATAATTGTTGATATTCGTGAAAGATACACTTTTTTCATTATATTGTCTTTTGTCTCTCATTGTTATCATTGACATAATCGATTAGGTATATACATTTACAACTCATTAACGTCACCTTAACAGCGTTTGAAATCATCTTGACACCTTAAGCCAAACGAATAGCATTTTCAACAACTGATTTATTGTTTTCAACATATTTTAATAGCATGGTCATTAAAAATAATCATCAAAAAATTTAAAATACTTGTAAGCATACGAACAAAGATAGACAATAGAACCTAAAAAATACTAACGTAATATACTAATATAATAGCCATAATACATGATGATCATATGATAAGTAATAACTAGAGCTAAACTTTAAACTAAAGGTGTATTATAAACATACATGCGGGCTAAAAAGAAATGCTTAATGCTTCTGTTTTAAMTTAGTATTTAACACGTTTTGAATATCTATTTCAATTAAATTTATTAGGCCCGCATGARCTCAGCTAAGCCATAGATCAGATTAGTCGTAAAATGCAAATATCCTTCATGTATTAAARGATGTTTCTTGATGGCATTTCTTCGCTGAAGTCCACGAAGGAAAATAAAAACGTGATCAGAATTTGAAATGTGGATGACATAATAATGGATGTAAGGGAAGAAAATGGAAATATTTATTAATAGAAGTTACTAAGATAGTAACATTAAAATGTTATGTAAATTCGGCAAAAGTGATTTATGCACRACAAAAACTAAAAGTACTTAAATATGACCTAGATATAGATTTGTTTGATATATGAAAACAAATTAATTTATAATGAAACAATCAATGTAGATATAGGTACATTCGTTATACCTATAGCCTATAGGGCGATTTTTATTCCTTAATTAATCATTAATTAATTGATGATTTATTGAATTTATTAAAGCTTTACGTTTTATACGTTTTAATACTTTAAAAGTTTAATAATATTTTCAATACATTACAATATCTTTATAGCTTCATAAAAATAATATACATCGTCTTAGAACATTATAATTTTGAAGTAATAAAATAAGAAATACCAAATATATAATAGACCAAGTCAAGTTCGGTCTAATAATACTGAATTAAAAATGTCAATATTTATTTACTGTTGACAATTTTAAACTCGTATTATACGGTTAACCGAAAAAATATTAAATCTAATTTCATATAAATTCAGTAATTAGTAATTACTAATTACGCAAGACATGTACATAATACTTAACTTGAATATCAATGTAGTTATGTAAATTAAAATATTACATGAATATAATAACTATTTARATTACCATAGTTTAAGTTAAAAAAAATTCAAAATAATAATAGTAAAGGTTTCCGCTGWCCCGTTGTTATATTATGTTTATTTAATGTAGGAAATAATTGCCAAACTAATAACATATAATGTCTAATAGATAATCGTGAAATAACTATGTGGCATCGAAATTATATTATTACTTTTACTCTAACCAATGGAAATCACAAGGACTCGACCTTCGTGTATAGACTCATCAGACATCATAATAATCTAAAGGCTTACTAACAATTTGTGTGTCTTATAAAAATGTAGATATCATACTTATATACGTCAAAAATTATACGTCTAACGTATAGACGCTGCATGCAATTAATCATCGGTTTGTCATCGTCAAATTATTACACTGTTAAWAAAACAACTGACATTATCAAATATATTCGGTATTGTATTACGTGAAAATCGGATACCACACGAAAAAAATTAAAAAGCCAGTAAGTACAAATCAGCCACCATCAGCCAATTAGAATAAAACAGAATAATAAAAAMACCCAACACTATTATTAATGATGATAATAATTTTTGGCAATACGAAAAATAGAATAATTATATGGTGACGGGTAGCAAGAGCCAAGAATACACAACACGCAATAACGGATATGTTTTCAAATAAAACTTATGACTTGTTAGGTACCAGCCGTAAAAAAATATAACATTGTTATGTCCAATGCTTATATCATATTATCATTATGATTATTATGTATAAACCTACGATAATATTCGCACATGCGGTAGGACCGAAAATCGTTGTTTGTGTTATACTGTTCTCAGATGGATTTAATATATATTTATTCGCAAAAACATCGCGTAAAGAACTCGCAACCGAACAAAAAGCTGTCAGGTACGGTCTGCTCGGTGCAGCATAATATTATATATATATATATTATAGATGGGCGGCACACTATGAGCGCGGGCGCAACAGAAACACAACGCGCGACCATCGACCCGAGACGCGCGCGCGACCATACGTCTTGTATTATTGTGATTTGTGGCGCACGTCCGCCTATATAAGTATATATTAACACGAATATAAACAGATTTGACCTAATGACTGTGTGAGAAAATTGATCATTATGTAATATTGTAATAATGTGCAAACATAATTTGGTGATAATTTCCGACGACGACTGGCACTGGCACTCGTCAATCGCATCAGTGCCATGACGTCATTAATGTACAATAATATTAATATATTATATACAGGTACCTACAATATAAAAGCACTGAAAAAACTGCTTAATCGACGAYTGCATATTATTAGAGTTAAAGAGATTGATGCCGACATCGTATGCGAATACGATGAATGATGATTATTGATGTCAAAGAAAAATATCAAGTAAGTCTGCACGTGCGTTCCGCTCGGTGAATAGAATTCGCGTTGACAGAATCAGTACCAACGGGAGGGRGGCGTGACATGGTTTTTATTTAAATAATATTAATCAAATTAATATTTATTTTATTTTGTAGCTATCGTCTATCATTCGTACACRTCTTCTAGTCTTTTAGTCGGGAGATTGGGTTAGGGGCATCCATAAATTATGATTCAGATTGGTTAGTTCRCCATATAAAAACAATTACACTATAATATATTATATCTGACCTCGCTGAGATAATCAAAACGCTCAAAAGTCTAAAATCTATATAATGTAAGACATGCYGCAGTTTGAAATATCTACGTACCTATTGGTAAAAAGGTATAAGATTATATATTATTATTAGTATTATATTTACAATCAACATCACTTTCACCAAAGTGTCCTCMGCGGGTCGTCACAGCCTCATCGCGCGATAATCCGAATAATAATAATAATAACGATAATAATATTAAGCAAGGTCGCGCGCACACTGCTGTGTTCACTATAAACTTTAGTCATGGTATACATTTCTCTGGGTTTATGAAATGTG